CCTAACTGACGTTAAAGGTAAAGCGTCAGTTGTATGACGGCCCGGGATCGCCATCTACCGAAGTTTAAGGGGGCCCTAAAAAGGCGGATATTGACGTATGGTCAAAATACGTCCCAAAATGTCAGTTATATGACTTTTTGGGATGAGACTGTGTTAAATCTACAGAGAACATGCAGAAAATAAAGTATGCTAATGTGACTGTATGTATTTAGAAGAGTGATAGTGGCATGTGAAAGGAAATGTCCTTTTTGTCATTGTTATACAAATAAGCAGAACAAAAAAAAAAATTGTCATATCCATTTCAGTTTGCTAACACCTTGCAACCACAACCATGAAAGTTTGCACAACATCAGCAGGTCATGTGCTCTTCCTTCCTAGAGGCTTGTCAGGCTGTTTGCACTCGAAACTCATTGTCTGAAACATTCATTTTGTAATTTCTGCGTCATCGTTTACCCTTTCAGTTATTGCAGCAAAAACATTCAGAGATTCAAGGCAACAAATTTTAGCATGTTACTAATAAGCGAAAAAAAGAAAAAAAAAATCAGAACATGGACATACTGTCACTGTCAGCAAGTTCATTCTTCAATAGCAGTAAATTTCAAATTCTGTGTTTTTTTTTTAATTTAAAACCTGTTCTACAGAAATACCAGGCATGCAAAATTGTATAATTATTAACGTTTGTGGTTACGAAGTAAAAAAAAAAAGAATACTAAAAAGAAAGGAGAATAGCATATACGAAAAGCAATAGCTTCGGTAATAAGCCTAAAATGGTGATATTAAGACTACATCTGTGAATGTTTTCAGAAAAGACTGAGCATAATTGCCTCATTAAAGGAGTCATGACATGTATTTTATCATTATTATTTTAATATGTCGCTTGAGGTTCACTTACAATGTTAATAAAGTTTGTTTGTTTTGCAAAGAAATGCATATATTAGCACAAATTATTACTTTCAACCCTCATTAAAATGATCTGTTTTAAGGGGCCGTCACCCTTAAGAGTAACCCTTATTAGTAAATGCAACTATTATGACTGGGCTGGCTTACGTCTGTTACGGTAGCATGGATGCACGAGGAGACGAGGAATAACAGGAAACAGGATCTTTCATAAACAAAACTCAGGAACCACAATATCACACTATATTATAAACGCGAACGGACAAGGAGTGAGAAGAACAGACTAGGGGAACAAGGCACAGCTGGGGCAAATTAACCTAACACAGGTGAAGGGACTGAACACAAACGAGGAGCGAGAAAATAGAAACAGGACTGAACCAAATACACAAAGAATGGGGGAAACACAGGGCACACATGTAACAATGTCATTGCATTGAACAAAGTATCAACCCCTGCATCAAAGCAAAAGATCTTTTATTCTCTCAATAGGGGATTATCACGCTTCCAGGTTTCATGGGCGGGATTTGTCAACTTTGTGCATGTCTTCCGACGCAGTTCAACAATGGCTGAGACGAAGGCTATGTCACTGCTCTTTTCCACTTTGTAAATCTAACCAACAACGCCCACCCTACGCAAGTTTTCATGGATTCCCGACTGAATTGAGTATAAGGAAGAACTGGATTAAAACTTTAAAACAAAACAAGGTAGCACGTTTGTTTGCAGCCGGAACTTTAGTGAATCAGACTAATTTACCAGGGATGCCGTATAAATAAACTTAGTGTAGTCCGTCATCAGTTTGCCAGCGAGATCGGTGATTCAACGGAAGTGGCAGTGCATCCGGAAGTCCTGCGTATCAGCGCGATAATCCCCTATTGAAGCTCAAGTGCATGCATGCAGTATAAGAAATTGACAAGCATCTTTCTACTGTCTGTATCCAGTGTAAACAGTGTCAATGATAATAATGAGTTATATTTGCATTTTGACAAGACACTCATATTCGCAAGCAGGTGCCAGCTGTGTAGGGAGTGAATAGCAGTGGGATGGTGCCTATGGTACGATGATGTAAAAATATTCAGCAATATCTTGCACTAGAGGCAGTCATCTGCAAATCTATTTGCCCCTTTTAACTACAACAACAACAAAAAAAACACATTTAAATGTGCCATTTTTTTGGATCTTGGTTATTGTACTGATGAAGACATTTTAAGTTTTGAAACATGCTGGTTTGTTTTAATGGAAAATATACCCATGTCATGCCCCCTTTAAGGTTACAGCCAGTTTGAAAATGATAAATATCTGCAATTAATCACAAACCTGAAACTAAAGCTGAGAAGATTTAAGAGGAAGGAATACATTTAATTAACCAATAATTTCATCAGACTCTCATTGTTTTAAACTGATGGATGTTAACAATTTATATTAGATGCAGCCTTTCTCTATGTTAAATGTGAACATAGATACTGGTGGCTCCACTCTTTATATCCATCTTCATGCATATTCAAACGGACACTGAATAAAACGCTATAATTAATGTCACATTGACCCTCCTCTCACTGGCCCATGGCCAGGCTCACAATAGGAGCGCATGGCAATGAGGAGGTTCATGAGAGCTGCTGGCAGAGCGCAATGAAACGCACCTGCTGCTTTTTGCACCTTATCACACCTTATCACCAGTGCCTAAACCCCTCCACCTCAATCTCTTCACCAGTTCTGATGGAAGGTGTCCTGAGTTGACGAGTCTGATCAGCCTGTCGGGCACAAGGAACGCCAATTTACGCCAATTCTGACTGCGCATAAAAAGGTCCAAAATAGCTCAACTTAACTGGGAGGCCACTTAAAGGACAAGTTTTGTATTTTACACTTACAGCCCTGTTTTAAGATAGTTTCTGATGAAATAGAATGGTTAAGATGGCCTGAGAATTTTCGGTTTCTTTGGTTGACCACTCGGGCCAGCAGCATGTGTCCAAATTTCAATCAGAAACGATCTTAAAACGGGGCTTTAAGTTTAAAATACTAAACTTGTCCTTTAAACAATGACCACCTGGCCCTATACTCTTCTGGATCAACCTATCCTGACTTTTGGCCACCCACAGAATACTCTTCCTTTATATTTGTATTTCTGACCAAGAAAAATAATTTCTGAAGCATGAAACTGTGTCTGTCTTTATTCCCTGCCATATTTGGAGAATAGAGAGGTTTATTCAGTATTCTAGAAAAAAATGTAAACAATGGACTGAAATACTGAAATGTATGGTTTTCATTAGCCAAAGTGAACAAACAATCAGGGAGATTGATGACAGCTGAAATATGCACCGGTCTAACAGATGAGCCTACTGTGTAGCTGAGGGTCTGCACCAACAATTATAAATGAGAAATCATAGCACACAGTACAAACATCAAGCCAAGCCTAGCCTAGTACAAACAAAGTCCTACCTGTAGGATATCTGCTCAGGAAAGCAAACAGCCAAGCCTGTTACAAGTACCTCGTAACATAGATGCACAAGCTCACAACACACATTCAGTTGAGTGGGAGAGCAATTCCCCACACTCACACTTTAAAATACAGACTTTCTTGCGAGTCAAGCATTGAATGTGTTATTCTTGTACGAAATTTATCAGGCAAACCCTTTATCCTATGTCATTTAGGGTCCATCTGTTCAATCAAGGTATGACTGATTGTCCATGAGATGATCACAGCAAACATGTTTGTCTGAACAGAGCAAATAATTATGAGGAAAGCCTCAGAATAGGAGAAAAGCCAAGTAGGAGGCCAACCAAATTCACATTCTCATAAACAGTCTCCTTCTCTGGAGTTTTGTGAGATATTTAATTCATCAATGGTTTCTAATATGTGGTATATTTGGACATAAAATAACACAATAGTCATTGTTTTTTTTTAAATAAAAATGTTGTGTATAATAAGAGCCATCAAATTCGATCTTACAGTTTTCTGCTATTTTAGAAAAAAAAATATTTTCTATAGTTATACCTGATATGGACCTAGAATATATATGTGTTATATTAATAAGGAGACTCTGGGTACATGTGAAGAGTGATAGCAATTTAATTTAAATGTTATTATTTGCATATTTAATAGTGTTAAACCAAAGGGCTCTTTTTTTACATATGAGCAGAAAATATGAAAATATTTTACATGTCAGCAATACAGATCTTCCTACTCGCTGTGTTGAAAAACAATGTGGAGTTATATTGAAAATAATGCATGGTGCAGCAGACAATGTGTGACATACATGTGACAGGAAGGGGGAATTATTGAAGACACAAAAAGTGTAATGGGTTTATAAAACCACACACTAATTTAATACATAAAATTGGATGTATAATGTGGTTTTGTGGACATATAGCCTAATTTTGAATGGGTGAGTCAGAAATTACAACTTGAAACTTTGTGCTTGCAACAGATAATTGTAACTTTCACAAACTTCAGCTTAGCCTTTACTTGCATATTCATAATATATATATATATATATATATATATATATATATATATATATATATATATATATATATATATATATATGAACATTCACGTTTGGGGACGTTAGCAAAGCGTTCTTGTAACTCAAAATGTCAAAATGGAATTTTTTTTTTTTTTTTTTTTTTTTTTTTTTAGCTGAGGAGTTCTTTTTCTTTTTTTATTCCCCGCTTTGACGCTGGGTGCCTTTACATTCTAGTATAAATTAACTCTTTTGATTCCGAACAAACACTTGGTTACAAAAGACTAGGCTACAATGTGCAGCTGTACAACCGGATAGGCTACAGAATAGGCTACATTTATAAGAACATACTCAAAAAGTGCCTATATCATCTATTGAAACCTAATTTTAATCGTCGTTGTTGTAAAAGAAACGCTGTTATGAGCGTTCAGCGTTGGTATCAAATCTAGCAGAGTAACTTAATCAGAGGTTCACTGAATAATCCTGATGAACAGCCCTCGGCATCCCAACTGAGAATCCGGAGATGAAAACACACACGCACTCCGTTTTTAAAATAAAACCTAACACTCTAATATCACAAATAAAGGCAACAGTGTAATGCACAGAACAAAAGCAGGAACAAGCATCTGAAAATAATATGCTCACCTCAAATGCGGATCCACTTTATTGCACGTGGGAGAAAAAAAGAGGCACAAAAGGATCCCGTTTTAAACTCGTGATCTATTACACGAGTGATGTGCCGTTGTGTTTTTGTGTTCATAACCCATGGGTTGGACAAGAACCGTCAATGAAGAAGAATCAGCATCTTCTGTCCCGGTATCGAAACCCGCTCCGCTTCTGTCCTTCAACACTGCCAGTCTCAGACAGTCTGAACTGGTACACGGGGTCCGCACAGAAACCGAGCACTACAACTACAATATTAAAATGAAAAAGATGCTGTTAATGTAGGCTATTCGGTTTTTGTCTCGCTTTGGCGAGATGCAGGCGGTTTTCACGCGCACCAGGCTTGCGCTTTCGTTCTAGGGGCTGTTCACTGTGTGCCTGTCGAAAGCAGAGGAGGCTCTCTAATACGAGAGCGCTTATATACACTGAGACGTGGGATGCGTGTGATTAAGTCACTCGTTGGGGGGATGAATGTTCAATCTATTGCATTTATTTTATGTTCGTCTTCAGGCATTGGTTCAAAGAGAACATTTGTCTATTCCTGCATGAGTCATTTACCACAGCCATGCTGGAGATAGTGTCACTTTTTACGACAGTTAATGTGTGTTTTTAAGGGTGTTTCTGGAAGTCAGTTTTATTCCAGGTCTATAGCCTACATTTAAGCCTTGGCTGCAGCAACAACAATAAAAAACTCTTTCTTGAACATGTCTACGCTTATTGCTTAGGAAAAGATACAGTTAACATGCATTGACCTTGGGTAACAGCTTGTCTCAAATGAGGATTTATTATCACAGTGGGAACTTACCATTTAACCAGTATTGAAACATATTTCATTATCTGGTATAATGTTAATTTACCAACCTATTGAAGTGTGAATAAAAGCTCAACACAAGCAATCTTCCACAAGAAAGTTATAGAAGCTGCACAGTGTTATTCGCACAGAAATTAAACACCATCATGGTAACACACATGACATTTTAAAAATGCAATAAACATTAATTAAACAACATTAAATGCAACATAAAACCCTAATGTACTACATAACTGATTAGAAAAGAACTAAGAAAATTAAGAAGAAACATAGTTCTCTTACGAGAGGTTCTCTCGTATTGCGAAAGTTGCCAACGCTACGGAAAAAGAATATTTTCTCGAGATATTGAAGCCAAAAAATAATCCTTAATTTTTCATATATTGTCAATGCAGTGCAGCAGCCAGCAGACCTAGAGCAGGCTATCTTGCATTCTTATTGGCTGCCCTGCGCAACTGCTGCAGCCTACCACTGAGCCTTGCATGTGACGTCATGCCCTCTACACGTCGCAGCCAGCCAAAAGCGGGATGGCTTAGCGTAAAAGACAGTCTCGGGAGCTGCATCACTGATTTTCATCATCTTCAGCAAAGCTCTTCACATTGTTGGACACTGAGAGAAGCGATCCACCATCGAAACTAGTGACCAGCACGCAGAGAAAAGCGATTGAAGAAGCCGGCCACTTCTTCAATCTTCGCCACCTTCAGCCTTCCGTGCCTGCTATGCCATCCGGCGTTGAGTATCCTTTTTTTAGTCTTTCCTGTGGCTTGTGCAAAGCCCCATTCAGTGCCGGAGACGCCACGTGATTTGTGCTCTCTGTCTGGGCCCAGACCACGCATCCCTCGCCCTGGATTCGGGAGGCTGCGTGTACTGTGAAGCTCTTCCGCTTTCGACCCTGCGGGCTCGACTTGAAGCCTTCACCACGGCCGCTGTCACTCCGCCCTCCGGACCGCGCAAGAAGAAGCGCCGTTCGCAGATATCGGAGTCTGAGGTCACCATAAAAGGCTCGCCGGATTTCATCCCACCAGTCTCCCTCTCTCCTTCTCCGCTCCTCCTCAGGGGACGAAGCTAAAGAGATCGACCTGGGTGACAGCTGTTCCATCCAGGCATCAGACAGTGTAGAATGGTCGAGTTCTCATCCCTCTGCCTCCTCCTCGATCCAGGAATCCAGCAGGACTCTGAAAACATTCCAGAGAAAGCTGCAATATGGCATCAGCTGCGACTGTGCTTCAGCTGGGCCTGCTGTGCGTGCGCATGTGCCAGGACGCCTGACCGACGGCCAAGACAAACTATCCAGGAACCATGTTCCCCCACGGGAATGGTCCCTGCAACCCCAAACAGTCCAATTACTGTGGCACCTTTTTTTGCAAAGCGAAAGTCAACCTGTTTGCGTTAAAAGACAACGGTCATTGCCCGCTGGTCTTTTCGAGGAACGAGGATGCGCTGGCCCAAACCTGACCCAGCCTCCCTCTTTATGCTTTCCCTCCGGTCTCTCTGTTACCAATGGTAATCAAAAGGATCAAGAAAATGCTCCACTTGGTGCTCCTTATAGCCCCACGATGGAACAATCAAATCTGGTTCCAAAGCTGATGCGGCCCCTTGGCCGATTCCGGTGAGGAGAGATCTCCTCTCTCAAACCCACTGCTCAATCTGACATCCCCATCCAGAGCGCTGGTCTCTGCACGTATGGGTAATCAACAGATATCCGCCAGAAGGAGTGATGAATACGATTACACAATCCAGAGCTCCTTCTACGAGGCGGCTTTACGTGTCTAAATGGTCTATGTTCTCCAAATGGTGTGCTGATAGAGATCTAGACCCACGAATATGTGGGGTTCCGTGGTTGCTTGGCTTCCTTCAAGAGCTGTTGGATAAGGGCAGGTCCCCGTCCATGCTTAAGGTATATGTGGCTTAGCGTTCACTGAGCCTGGCAATGCCACTCTGTATACCCTATATGTGCTCATAACATGTGCTGGCCTGCATTGCTGGCCACCTGTTTCCCACTACTGTATGTTCCCCGGGAATCCCTGGGACTCATGAAGTGGATGCTGGGTGCGCACAACGTTGACAATGAGTTCCCTTAGCGTAAGAAACTTACGCAATACAAGAGAACCTCATGTAAGAGAACGTACTCGGTTACATACGTTTCCTCTCAATATGAGGGAACAAGTATTGCGTAACCCGACCGTGCAGGCGCCAAGACCAATTTCTCGCTTCAGCTGATGAAACCAGTGATGCAGCTCCCGAGCCTGTCTTTTATATGCTAAGTCACCTGGCTGTGATGCGTAAAGTGCTCTCTGTATCTATACCCTGTGTTCTCCCTCAGTCCATTTTCATTAATGTTTAATGTTTTCTCCTGGTTCCTGAGTTTTGTCATTAAAGATCATTATAATCATCTTCCTTCGTCTTCATGCTATTTCCTCTACTACGTGGCGTAACAGACACCTTAAAATAAAGTGTAACCAATTATATTCATGAAGAATTATACAACACATTCTTTTCAACGTTATATTATGTTATATAATATTATGGCCTGGTTTCACAGAAAGGGTTTAGATAAAGGCTGAATCCCAATTCTCTGTCTTACCCCTTCCCATTACCCCTTCCCCTTCGTCTTACCCCTAGCCGTTGTCCCTCGAAACCGAGTGGTAAGCGCTAGTGCAAACATACCCCTACCCAGCCAGCAATGACATGTGGGGCCCATATGAGGGCTTGATGGGCGGCAAATGTGGGCCCCATTATGGGCTTGCACCCGGGATCCACATTGGGGCAAGCTGTGGAAGCCCAGATGTACTAAAATTGGGACCAGTACGGGTACTGTGTTTGGGCAATTCATGTCAGACCCATTTGGGCCCCACCTGGCCAAATGGGCCTTAAGTGGGCTTGCACCCGGGATCCAACTATGGTTACCCAGATGGGCTTTAAATGGGCTCTGTAAGAGTCTTATGTGGGTCCTAAGTGGGAAATTCAAGCCAGACCCATTGGGGCCCCACCTGAGACACCACTCGGTTACGTCATCTTAGATCGTCCTTAACTGGTGTCTGTGTCACCTGGAGCAAAAAGTGTTGATCACAAACTTCTCAAAACTTTCAAGATGCCGTCAAAATGTCCAGGATTGAGCTTTAGCTTTCTGCCTTCACTATTCATTATGTTTACATGCACAAGGTGTTGTTTAAATCGAACTGAATTCATTTAAATCGGTGAATCTGAATGTATTGTTGATCTAATATTCCCATGTTTTCGTCAGTCAGGATCCGTTTGAAGTTGAATGCATCATCTGAGAAGCTGATCCCGTACGTGTTTGTGTCAAATAATTAACACATAATGAATGGTGACTGTAAAAGGCAAAAGCTGAATCCCGGACATTTTGGGTGATCTTGAAATGTGGGACTGATTGTGCAAATCAACAATGTAACGTTAGCATAGCCTAGCGTAGCAAAGTAGCGATTTTTAAAAACTTTAAAAACGTTTCAATAAACAACATAGTTGCAAATATGTATGTACATAACTGTGTAGAGCACAAAACAAGACGGTTATATTTTTATCAATCTTTTAAGCGAAAAAAAATTGTGCATTTCTTACCCCTTTTGGTTTCAAGTAAGCTTGTGAAAATTCTTGGTCTAAAGTGGTATATACCCCTTCACCCCTACCCCTAGATCAAAATGAGAATTGAGATAGCCCTTCCTCTCACGTGTATGCGTAAAACTGAGGGGAAGGGGTAAGACAGAGAATTGGGATTCAGCCTAAGCCATGGTTAACCTTAGTTCAATTAGAACATTAATAGTTTTTATAAACATGCCTTAGAAAAATAACTGGTATGCATCTTGAGACAAAACAGTGTGACTTGCATATTTTAAGATTTGCAAGTTGCTTTTTATTTTAGTCTGGGACTAGACTTAAGCCTTGTCTGTGAAATGGGGCATAAGCCTAAATGTTACAACTTAAAATACATGCCTTGAAAGTATTGTTCAGCTTTTGGGTTAAAAATCCACCTTCATTATACAGATTACCCCTGAATGTATGACAGAGTGTGTAATTGGGTCAATGACGTATAAGGCCTTTGAGAGGCCCATTTTTAAAATACTTGAAATAATAATATATTTGTCTATTTTCTAAACATGTGGAGTGTAGTCTACACATGCAAGTGTGTGAAAACTTCAAACAAAGATATTTTAGTGCTTTTAAACTCAAATGAATAGGGCAATGACCTTAAAAAAGTCATTTGGGGCGACCGTAATTTATCTTATAATTAATAGATTTCCTTTGCATAAGTTATATTTTAAGAAGTATCAGTAATTAATTGAACTGTTTAAGAAAGATATACTCATGTGTCCTTTCATTTATTGCAAATGATGTTAAATACATTTTTATCTATAATGGCAGTGTCACCCTCATAAAGCAATCACATATTTTTTTTACTCATAAAATCCATAAAACTGATTTAAAATGTGTAGATATAGTATCCACTTATTGATGTTATACCAATGAATTATATTTCAACCAAAATGGACAGATATTATTTTTTGAATTTACTGCAGAATTGAA